CTTTGTGAACCTCGCGGTGTAGATTTCGTGGCAGGTACAGCACTTGGCGAACCTCGAATTCATGAACCCCGAAGTGCAGAGTTCGTAGCAGGCGCAGCACTTTGTGAACCTAGAAGTGCAGATTTCGTGGCAGGCACAGCACTTTGTGAACCTTGAAGTGTAGATTTCGTGACAGGCGCACTTTGTGAACCTCGAAGTGTTGTTTTCGTGGCAGGCACAGCACTTTGCGAACCTCGATGTGCAGATTTCGTGGCAAGCGCAGGACTTTGTGAACACGCACAGCACTTTGTGAACCTCGCAGTGTAGATTTCGTGGCAGGTAGGTGAGCCTCGAATTCGTGAAGTGCAGAGTTCGTAGCAGGCGCAGCACTTTGTGAACCTTGAAGTGCAGATTTCGTGACCAGCGCAGCACTTTGTGAACCTCGAAGTGTAGATTTCGTGGCAGGCACAGGACTTTGTGAACCTCGAAGTGCAGATTTCGTGGCATGCACAGCACTTTGTGAACCTCGGGGTGTAGATTTCGCGGCAGGTGCTGCACTTGGTGAACCTCGAATTCGTGAACCTCGAAGTGCAGAGTTCGTAGCAGGCGCAGCACTTTGCGAACCTCGAAGTGCAGATTACGTGGCAGGCACAGCACTTGGTGAACCTCGAGGCGCAGATTTCGTGGCAGGTACAGCACTTGTTGAACCTCGAAGTGCAGATTTCGCGGCAGGCGCGGTACTTTGTGAACCTCGACTTAAGTGCAGATGCACAGATGTCGGCGCAGGCGCAGCACTTTGTGCTCCCACCACATCCTCATTCTCACTCTCTCACTCTCACTCTCACTCTCACTCTCACTCACTCACTCCCCCACTTGCACTCACGCTCACACTCACTCACTCTCACCCACACTCACTCACACCCACCTCACTGACTCACTCACTCCATACTCACTCACTCACTCCGCTCACTCACTCCATACTCACTCACTCCATGCTCACTCACTCACTCCACTCACTCACTCCACTCACTCACTCCACTCACTCACGCACTCACGCACTCACTCACTCACTCACTCACTCACTTATCACTCACTCACCTCACTCACTCACTCACTCACTCACTCATAAAAAGGATTTGCTTTGTTGTTGTTTCTTTTTGTGATCTTTTGGGTGGAAACTGCAAAGCAAACGTGCTAGCTGCCAGTTTATGGTTAAGACCATGCAACAACAGAGCTATTTCACAAACAGACCAATTCGGTTTGACCGTCAAAGTTGCAGAGGGGCCCTTAAGTCTTCCAAAGTAGGGTTGTTTGGTTGAAGTGTTCTTGGTGAACAACCCTACTAAACAGCACTGTGCGCATTGAACTTGCATTTTGCGGTCGGCCCGCGTGTGGTGCTTGACTCAAAAACGGAGTCCTCTCAGCGGTTTTTGATTTGCGCGAGTCTGTTTTTTGCACGAGTTGGGACGCCATGTGTGCGGTGTGCGAAAAACTCCGGGTAGCAAACTTACACGGTAGACTACCTACCTCCCCTGGATCTTTAGCTCACAACAGGCTCTCACACTCTTCCGGTACGGTACGGAACCTCTCCCTTACACTTCCGAATACTTCGGAAAACTTCAAATGCTGCACTAGCTGCTCTCAGACACTCGCACCCTTTTCTCACACTAGCCAAACGAATTGGCCTTGAGCCAAAACATATCCCGTAGCACTAAACTATACAAAGAATACACAAAACATATTCAAAGTCTCTTAAAAGCATCTCCACACACAAAGAACTCTTTCAAAACTTCCGACTACGCTACAAGTCGCTTTCAAACAATTAAGAAACAAAATGTTGTACTACCGCCAGGTTCCAAATCTTTCACAAACAAACTTAAACGAAATTTATGCATCGCAAACTGCAAGCATCGAGCGAGGTGGACAGCCCGACATGGAATTTCTTCACCCCCTCTTGGACACAAAGCTCGAAACGAACTGGCTGGCTTTAAGCCTTCTTATTCTTCTTCAATGAGGACAGACATTTGGCACAAATATCTTTCGACATAGGTACGTTCATGCCCGAGCAAGTTGGATTCAAATGAACCTTGCTCCCACTCACTGAAAAATACACTTTTGAGCATTGCTCAATGCCTTTTGGAACTGGATAGCTCTTCGGCATATCGACTTTAAAAGTCACTTGGCTCTCAGGCTCAGCATGCTTCCGACACCGCAGGCAGCAGCAGGTCAGCAGGCATCCCAAAAGAAAACCGGCTGCAAAGACCAAAGCGGTCGCTGCTTCCAGGCTCAGCATCGCAAGCGCCGTTTCCGCATCCGGCATCATACCTCGGATGGTATAAGCTTCATTCCAAGAAAAGCTGTATCTCACAGTCTGCAAAAACCAAGATTCTTCCGAAATGTGCAATCGAAAGCGCTCGCAAAAACGTGCCATTCGGCTCAGACAACGTACAAGACTTACTTGGCTATTATGACTCTAATTCGGCTTTAAATCCATTGAGGATTAGCTCGCAAAATCTCCTGGGGTAGTGTTGCGTTTCCTTCCAATTGACTTCCTTGGACGGCAAATGATCATGACGACCATCACAAACGCAAACTTTCAGGCTTTCCAACAACCGAGTACTATCTGTCTCAATCCTCCAGGTCTTTCTGACCAATTGACCTTTCTGGTTCAACTTGACTGAACAAGCATCCACAAATGTTGAAAACGTCTTTCGTTTCCTCAGAAAATCTTTAGTCTGATTCCATCCCCAATAAGCACATCTCTTTGGCCATTCAATCGCTACAAAATCGGCTACTTCCGACATCCGTAAGAAACCTTTCCATAGCTTCTTCTGAATCTGGTACAACTCTCGAAGATGACCCATATAGTCCTGACCAAACTTCGAATATACTGAAACGGACATCCTCCTGTACACGGAATCGACGACCACAAGACAACAAGCTTTCCTCTCTTCCGATGGCTTATCATCTGCTCCCGAACTGACTCGATCGTGTCCGATCGGGTTCCGTCATCCGCCTCAGTGACAGTCAAGACTTCAACACCTTCCGTACGGCTTCCGACTTCTTTCATCTCGGACTCCGGTGATGTGCAAAACTCAACAATCAGGATTTCGGTACACGTGACCTTATCCATAACCCACAACCATCTCCCGATCCAGTCATACGGCGCTTCAAATGAAATGAGAAATGCTCTGACAACTCCGATCGTCTCCATATGTTGTAAAGTCACAGCTCTCGACAATGCCTTGGTCATCAAGTCGGCACAATTCTCGGTACCTCGGACAAAGCTGATGGAAATCACTCCCTTGTAGACTGCATCTTGCAAAAAACAGATCCGAATGTCTATATGTCTTAATCTTCTCAACAACCCTGACATCTCTGTGACATTTCGGGCTGCCATCGAATCCGTAAGCAAACCTGGAATGGGCAATTCCTCAGCTTGACATCCATAGACATGTGCCACGGCGTGTTGAACACCCTATAGTCTCTTTCGCTCCTTCGAACAAAGCATATAGCTCTGCCTCGGCTGAACTACAGGCTACACTCTGCTGCAACCTACTGAATGCTTTGACACAACAGTCACTAACGAAGATGGCTGCTCCTGAAGTACTCTTCCTATTGGTGGACTTCTCGGCTGCCCAACTGGCATCGACATAGGTCGTAATCCTTGGTGGTCC